TACAACAGGTTTGATGCTTGGGGTTTTTTTTTTTGAGAAACTACATATTTAAACATTCTGCTTGCAGTGCAACAGCAACGTAAACCCTTCCTTTATTTTTTGGCAGATGCTGTGCATCACTCACATTCAACTTATCGTTAACTGTGAACTGTTCATGTATCTTAGTGTGGTTTCAATGCTCCTATGGCAAGGCTAAACAGCATTTCAGAAACAATGATATCCCCAGGCCCACACTGTAGTTTCTTAAGCACAGATTAAGCACGGTATTCTGCTCAACAAGCTCATCACTGTTAAGTAACTCATCAGAAAATAAAGAGGGAATTATCAAATGGGAATTGCCAAGTAATTAGTTCTCTGAAGCAGATGACATACAACTGTTAAAGGGAGGGGCTTCCCTGCTAGTCATATGTCAAAGTAGACTCTTCTAATCTGTAAATAAAAATTCAGTACATATGATTAGTGTGATGGGTTTTTAACTGCTAGTGGTACATGAAGAATAAAGTTACAACTTCTTCTAATGTAATAACCTACTAGGATTTTTTCCCCTTGATTATATTGAATTTTCAAACTATTCTGGATCTACTTGCTGTCAGACTACTTGGGAAAGCTATGAATATAGCACAGTACCAAGCAGCAAATGTGTTCTGGGGCTACAGAAGAGGAGAAATGCATTTATTATTATATACATTTGAAAAATACCACTTTCTAGTCAGCTGCTACACATGCCACTGAAAAGGAGCCACGTCAGTAGCTCAAAATTTCTGAGCAGAGTAAAGGAGGATTAAGCCTACTTTTTGTGACTATCCTTCTCCATTAAAGCCTGACTTTCTTTCAAGTAGCTGGCCTCACAGAAATGTTCGCTGTACAAAACTACAAAGGCCTTCACACGTGGATACCTGACAAACAAAATGTGTAACAGTCACAACCACACTCCAATACAAGTGAGGAACATTCAGACATTTGTACTTTTTATAGAGCAAGGAGTAACTCAATAAATTCTGAAGTCAGGTTTACAGCTAGTTCCAAAATAAGTAACTAATGAGAAAATAAAGAGGCAATTATCAAATTTAGGGTTTGCCTCTATCACAGTGTCTCATCATGAGAAACCCTCAGCCAACACATTTAAATCCAGATGCTGCCACCTGGGCTAATTTCAGACCAAAATTATACCCCTGGTCATGAAGGCTAACTTTCTTTCAAAAGCACAGCCCTGGTTTCAAGGCAAGGCAAACCCCACCAGGACACCCCTGCCCAACACACACAACTAAGGGCAGGGGCAGCAGGAGGGCACACACAGATGCTCAGGCTTGCACACAAGTGCACATCACATCTAGATGCCTCACCACGTCTCTGCCCCCAGCACATGGAAGTTCTCCATCTACTCATACTCACACTGACATCCAAAAGCCCACACTTTTAAAGGAATACTAACTGCTAAGTTGCAGTTCATGGGACAGCAAATTTCATTCCATTTGCAAATATACCTTTTACAAACACCAAGTTGGAAGGTGAATCAAACATTGGATAGTGCCTTATATCACATTATGAATGTCAGCTTTGTGTTTTTATGTAGGCATACCACTACACCCCATGCCATTTACACTTCAGATCATGTTATGAAACTTTCTATCAGTCAGACAGCAGGTATTCAGTATCTGCAGTAGGAACAACAGAGGAAAAACATGAAAGGTTATGGTTGAGGTGAGGGAACCACAAAGCCTCATTTTTAAGACATCTGTCAGCATTCACATCACTTCATTTAATTTACCTTTTAGTTGCTCACACATAATTAAAAAATTAAAATTATTCCTAATTACTATTCAGTTATACCTAGTTCATAGTTCTGTTTCACTAGTGCTGTTAACATATTAGAAGTCTCCATTGCCTACCTTCTTTTAGCCCTACAGATATTGTAGACCTTTATAAACAGCATGAGGGAAGAAATAAAAACAGCTACGATAAAAGGACACTGATATGAAAACCAAAAAGCTACCACTGTACACAGTAATATAGAGACAGATTAGTTCTTTTTATGTTCACTATTAAGTATTTTAAAAGGGCAGACTGTTGCCTGTTAACAGAGAGGTCTGCATAAAAGAGAAGGAAGTCTGCATAAAACAGAAATGATGTCTTATGTAAAAATAAGCTATATTAGGTAGTATACAGCACACTTACTGAACATTCAGCCAAAAAATTTTCTTACAAATAGGCTGCAGCTGTAAATTCATCCCAGTACTATGATTAATAAACAGCAAGTGACTCGACAACAGAAAAGATTAAAAAGAACTCTTTAATTGTTAAAATGTCCAGTATCTAATGTAAAATCCTCTCAAGACAACTGTGTAAAAGAAAGCATTGAGTCATTTGCCTATGTGGAAGGAGGCAGTGCACACTCTGAACAAATAAGAATAACTCTGTGTGGAGGGAAGGAGGGAAGGAGGGAAGGAGGGAAGGAGGGAAGGAGGGAAGGAGGGAAGGAGGGAAGGAGGGAAGGAGGGAAGGAGGGAAGGAGGGAAGGAGGGAAGGAGGGAAGGAGGGAAGGAGGGAAGGAGGGAAGGAGGGAAGGAGGGAAGGAGGGAAGGAGGGAAGGAGGGAAGGAGGGAAGGAGGGAAGGAGGGAAGGAGGGAAGGATGTATATATTTATTTATTTTTGTTTTAGTTTTACTGACACCCATGTCCTTATCCAGGCAAGATGCTTAGCTGGCTCTGCAGAAAATGCTGCTTGAATTAAAAGGGTAAGTGCGCCTGGAGAGCTGACACACAACAAAGATGTTACCCATTGAAGGTACACAATTCCTCACATGAGTGAAGCCATGAATGCACGTGTAGGGACATTAGGCCTCAAGTATAGCTTCTGAGATCCATTTTGGATGCCTCCAAATGTGTCCCATCCCTCTGACAGACTCGAGGGTCATAACCTAGGTCTGCCTAAAATGGAGCAGGGCAGTTGCCACCTTCACCCCAAAACAAATGCAAAGGCCAGAAAGATGATGCGTGTGAGTATGAAATGCTCTATCTGTGGCTGTTCCCTGCACAGTGCCAGGTCATGTTTCTTTCACATGTTACTACTGTGAGCTCCTGCCTGTTTCCTCCAGTAACAGAGCGAAGTTTGTAAGTAGGCAGTTTCTACCCCAGTAACTTTTAACTCACGTATTTTGTTATATAGTGGGCCTGATTTTGATTGTTCCATAGAAAAAATGAGAACTAATGAGGTCAACAGAGGTATCCCAAACTCAGTAACTAAAATGTCCAACAACAAGAAGCTAAATCAAATCTAACCTAATCTAAGGTCCACAAATAAAATACTATACTTCAAGCTGAGTTGGTATAGGAAAAACAGCATTTTGGTACTATACTCCTGTCATGCCTCTGCATCAGACTTAACTAGGTTACATTTTTTATTCAAAATGTTTGTTTAACATTGAATATATTATATGTCATGTAATTGCAGAAAATACCAGATGCTAAAATATCCAAGGTGACTTAGCAATACATTGTGAGTAACACAATCTGATTATTCATAGGACTTGACTAATTCCCTATAAACAACTACTTCTAATTAAGAGATATAAGTTTTTCCAGCGGTACTCACTTCTTCATATAAACACATTTTTATACAACCCAAATTAATCTTAAAAAATAATTATTATTGCATTAAATGCTTTGTGGAAATGATAAGATCATAACAAAAATCTTTCTATTTGATGTCCCAAGCCAATAGCTGCAACCAATTCAGTTTTCTTCCAAAATGGAAAGACAAAGTGTGTCAGCGCATGGGCACTTTGTGTGGTTTTTTACTTTCTAGAAATGCTTACTGGTCTGAAGTTACAGCAGTTACCACTCACCCCCACCATTCAAGCTCATTTGGAAATTGTAACAGGCTTGTCCTTGCATGTAACTACTTGCCTAGGCAACTTCCCTCTAAAACACAGCATGCTTCCCCACAGCCACAATAAAATGTAAATGATGCACTGCATACTTTTCTATGACATGCTGTATACATTAAGAAGTTATTCTGCAACAGGGACTTTCTGATCAGCCCTGCATAAATAAGAACACTATTGCAATTAAGCTTTCAGATTGTAAATTTAAAAAAGAAACCCTTTGGTTTTCTGCAAGCAATCACTATATTTCATTTTCTTTTATTTAAAGACACAGGCAATTTTATTATGACCCTTTATCTTTTTTTCTTAAAGCATTAGCAGCATTGCCAATCCCAAGCACTTAAAAATCATAGAAGAGGTCCAAAAAAACCAGGCTGGCTTAATGACAATCAGATTAAAGAAATAAAATAAAAATTTATGTTCTTTTTATTGGCAGTATGATTGTTGAGTCTTGGGACTTGGTCTTCTCAAATTATTTTCCACAACCATATGGGAAGGAGAGAGAGAGGAAAAGGACAGCAGCAGACTGATACATGTGCACTTTTACATCTTGTCTGGCAACAGCATTTCAGGGAGGAAAATCAGAAGAACTGAAAGCATTCCTCAAAATAGAGCAAAAGGCACACAGATACATCAGTAGTGACTAATTATCCTGGGAACTATTCTAATGGCAGACAAAGTTTGATGCACAGAAGAAACTCAAGACAGTGGAAAAGCCAAGTAGGCAACAAGCAACAGGAATCCTGAAAATGATCACAAAAGTTAAGTAAGGATTTATACTATTTTACAGGTGGCCTTTTATAACAAGAATCAAAGTCTGCCACCTTTTCCATTAATACTAATATGTTCCAGTAACTGCATATACTCTGACCTCAGGTGAGCATAAAACTACCCATCTGGAACGCACCTGTTCTGTAAGTCACAGAACTGAGTCACCAGAGTTAAAGGAATTTTTCTGAGCAGAGTTTCTCAAGGACCTCTACTGCCAGGCAAGGGAAGTACAAACCTATCACAGGTAGGCAATCATACAGACACCAGGAAGGTGTGCACTTTGCCTAAAGCCCAGAGCAGACAGTGTACACTTGCTGAAGGAAATAAAAAGCATCGCATTCTCACCTTATTGGCAGTGCATAACTGTACGGTGAAGAAAAAAATGACGGTGGTCACTGTCCTACGGGGTCAAGAATAAATTCACAGCTTGTATTGCTTGCCCATCTGGCTTGGCCTGCAATGTGACTGTTGATCCAGGAGTTGAGGAGATGGAAACCAAAATAAAGAGAAAGAAAAACACAGTTAAGAGTCAACATTTACAGTCATTTACAACACACTAAGATATCCCAATGAAGACTGAGAGAAGCTGCTTTTTTTATTACTCAAGCACAAATAAACCATAGATTTAATTCTGCAGACAGAGCTCATACAGTAGAGAGCAGAGCCCATTTATTCAGAGTGCTCTTTTCCTAAATGTGATCTTAATGAGGTGAAGAATCATAAGCAAGTGGAGATGACTGTCTTCACTGCCAACAGAATATATTTCATTTGAGAAGCAGTAGCATCCTGAAAACATAGCGCTGCAATTACTACTACTAGGTGAAAAATAATCACTTATTGGAATCTGACTTTACCTTGTACACTATTTTGTCATTAAAGGTGGCATGCTACAGTTGATGCCTATTACTGTAAACTCCCAAATAATATAAACAAAGAAAAACTCTAACAATGTGGTTTTTTAATTTTTTCTGTGATTTCGCTCAGCAAAATCATGAAGAGCCAGCACTGAACTTCTGCTGACATCACCTATTAAACAAAATACATTTGAGGTTTTCACTTGGAATCTCACCAAATATTTGTATCATTCTTGGTACAATAAAAGGATTTAGTGGGACTATTTCTCCCTCACTGAGAATCATTTCTGTTGTTTCAGTTTATGAGCATACTTACTTGTTCCTATTTAGGGAAGGATTTACACGCATACTTAACTCTAGATAGGTTCTTTAATCAATCCTCATTCACCAAAACCCTCACTGGGCCATCTACTAAAGTAACTTTGCAGACTGGGACCAATGCACACATACAGATTTGCATGTATTGTACAACCACTTCAGACTACAGTTTTGAGAGGAAAAAAAAGCCATGAAGCATTACATCCTCAACACATGCACTGAGATAAAAAAGAAGTTATGGTCATGGATCTAGCTTTTGTCTTTTTGCAAAAATCAGGAATCTACAAAGTTTCTTAACATTTTAAAATGTTAGTCATGCATCACCTCAGTCAAAACTATGTAAAAATCCAACTTTCTCATATAAAGAATGTGAACCACTGAATAAGACTTCAAAATACAGTGCCTTCGACCTAATAGCTATTTATTTATTTATCACATTTGGAGTCTTGCTTAAAAGTAAAATAAAAGGATGAGGACAGGATGCTTAGGCTATTGAAGTAACTGGAATATAGCAAGTCAGTTCTTTGCAATGAAATATTTACCTGTGCCGAGCCTGCAATACTTCTCTTTCTTGTTCTAATTATATCTTTAACTGTTAACGCAGAGTTGGTTACAGCAGTCTCAGAAGGGACCTACAACTAAATCTGTTATCTGCACTCTCTGAATTGTACACACTGTACCTGTACAGCTCTCCAGAACAACTAAATCACTCACAACCTGTGTGATTATAGCTGAGACTGTCACGCAGCTCGACTTCTCTCAAGCATCACCAGTGGCAGCTGCCTCGCACGCTGGAGTAGGTTTGCAGCCAGCCAGTGCTTCAGACCATCTATGCAATCCTGACAAGCACTTCCTTTACAGTAGCCTGCCACACTTTTTTTATTGCATTTCCCCCTCAATTAGTACACCACAACAAAAACAGTGTGCGTATGAACAATGACAATGATAATCCTGACTGTCATATGCTAAAATGTGCTGCTAAACCTCAGCAAGGGGAAAAATTAGGCCTTGATTTTGTTTTACTAGCCATGTTACTAAGACAATTACTTTAAAATTCTAATGTTTAAATTCTTAGCTGCTTTTCAGGTGACTGCATTCAAGTGTCTATTTTCTTAATTAATGGGAAACTAGGCCACTGGATCTATTACATAAAAATTTTTGTTAAGTGAAATTCCATGTTTCTTGCAAATGCCTTTTAAAGCAAAACTAGTTTTTTCAACCTTTCTAAATAGATTCAGTCAGACTAGAAAAGCAAAGTTGCACCATTTATTTTTCAGAAAAGTTTTTTAAACTATGTATATATGGCCTTTTTGAAAATAATTACTTTCTAACACTCTTAGTCACACAGGTAATTTGTCTTACAATAAAATATGTATAAGCAGCATGCAGCACACAAAGGCTCACACTACAGGAGTTGTCCTGCTCATGACTATTCCACTCTTTCCAGCCAGTCCACCTAACAAGCTCTTCTATTTCAAGACACCCCCTCAGAATGGAGGTGGCCACACCGAGCAGAGGATATTCTCTCCTAGCCAAAATGGCAAGTTAGCTGGGGCACTGAGAAGCAGCACTTCAGTGCAGGAAATTGCCTGCAAATACCCTGTCCCCTCACCCCTCCAAGAAGATACACTCCTGCTCGGCAGGCAGGCTGAGACCTGCAAACTCATCACATCCAACCCAAGACCGCCACTGCCTGTCACCACAACAGCTGAACCACCAACAGGCACTTCTCATTGCCTCCTCCTCCAGCTCCAGTGCTTTACCATCAGAGTGATTAAAATATCTATTTTACTGAGATATTTCTGGATTGCTTTATGTTCCAGCCTGGTACTACAAACACTCAGGAGCTGTGGGTGCCGATGATTTCTCATCACTGAGACACAAAATCCTCCAGGCCAAGTTCAATATTAGTGTCAGTGCACCCAAGATTAATGACTGGAGTAGGGGTGTTACCCACTTCTATAGACACTTAATGCAGCTCCTTAATCAGGCAAAAATCCTATTTAAGACCACAGAGCTTTCTGCCATGAAAAGCAATATAGAGAAAATAACAGTCATACACAGCAGATCACTTTCTGAGCTCGGTTACTCTACTATATGCCTGGATTAAATCCAATAAATGGAGTTATTTGAGATATACACCCATGTAAGTGGTTCACAATCCCATCCCCTGGAGTTGCTCCAGATTTATGACATTAGAACACAGTGGCAAATTTAATGCTTTAAAAAAATTATACCTACATTTATGGAAGAGTGGCTTAAAAGAGCGATGTTCAAACAATGAGAATGAAGACAAATATACATTGCTTGGTGAAACGTGTTTTTAAAAGCAATATGCAGTTCAAAGCTAATTATATTACGAATCCTTTGACACTATTATAAACTTTGTCAGAAAGTCTCCTGCTCCATAGCTATAATATATTGATGAGCACAAATGCAAAAAATATCCCCATACTAGAAACAAAATGTTTATTGAGGCAAAAATTGTTTTTATCGTGAGAAACTGCAGTCAGCTTTCACCTAACACACAAAAGGGCCTAAACCTTGATAAGAACTACGAGGAGGCTTTAACAAACCCAGAGTGACAATACTGACATCAAGTACGACCAATTTTCATCGTACCAGTACAGGAACAGAGAATAACAAGCCTGTGGCCTAGGATGAGAAAGCTGGAATGGGAACTGTTAGCAAACACTGCTACAGCTGCCAAACAGTTAAACCAGACAGACTGGGGACTGGGGGGGGGAGGAGAGGGGGGGGGCCGGGGAACGGAAAAAAAAAAAAAAAACAACTCTGAAGAAACTTTCGTGCAAGCTTGTAAGCTTGTATAAGCCAAAAGCATTTTTACAAAGTACCACACCTTCATTAATTTGCTAATAATACACGCAAATGGAACTGACGATTTGGCTGACCTGCTAAGCGTGCCACGCACGGCCAATTTGCCTGACATTCCAGTGGGCAAAGAACACCCTTCCCGAGAGGTTCGACCATTAGGAACCCACCACCGGCATCTTTCAATTTTCGGAAAGCCCGAGGCAGTGGCCGCGCCGGCCGTACGCCACCAACGCGGCACACGCAGGGCTGGCGGTAGCCCGCTGGGTCGCCCGCCAGCCACACACGCACCTGGCTGGCCGGTGAATACGGTGAATCCCGTCTGTTACCATGGCAGCCTGATCTAATTACATGACTGATCAGGGCTGGAGTAAGCGCGCTGAAAGCCTGCACCGCTGACATGTCGCTACATGATGAGAGAGACAGACAGACAGCCGAGCACAGAGAAAAACCTATCGACCTCTGCCTTATGTAAAAACTGAGGAGATTACAGCCACCCTTCCAAAATAGCTGCTACATACCGGGCAGTAAAATACCGGGCCAGTTTTACGAACAAATTAGGTGCAGTAACGTACAATTACTACTATTATCCTGCAGCATCACAAAAATAACTACGGCGCAATATTTTCCCTGGCCATTCTCAATTTCCCTCTCCCCCATTCATAACCCTTGCTCCATATGATAAAACTGCACCGTCTCTATCACTCGAACAGAAATAGATTAACACGAAGCCGGGATTTTCCTTTAGGGGACGGTTTCATTCGAAACTGAAATTAAAAGTCCTTGACTTATCAGTGTGTCAGCAGAGTAACTCACTATGCCCGACCGTATCTGACGCGTGAAGTAACCATTACTGCATAAAATACATAACCATGAGCGTTAAAGGTTAAAGTGTAAGCTGCGTTACAAAATACGAATTTCTTTACCATATGAAAAGAGAAAAGGTATCCGGCAAAGGTCATTTACCTGCACACCCTTCCCGTTCTGTACACAGAAATAATTTGTAAAGAGGAGGGTTTTACAAACCTAGATTTCTTCGTCTGGTCGTAAAAGAAATGCCTAAATTTTTTCCTCAATTCTATCTGAAGTTCGGGCTCACAGGGGAGAGATGCTGCTCGGAGGAGTCCCTATTACACAGCATACGGTAAACAAAATAAAAATAGCCTGTCGTTCTCGTTGTCTACACAGTGCATTATATAACGGGCTTCCGACTTGTTTTCTTTTCTATTATTACTCTTCAGTAATTCCTCCTCTTCAATAACATGTAAATCGCTCCCAATTCTGTCATTTTATTATTATCGCTATTACTATTACAGTAGGAGCTAACGCTTTTCCAGCATGCTTTAATTTGGACTTTAATATTCTCAGGAATCACATTGACGGATTCAGCACCCACAACCGTACACGGGGTCATTTATTTGTTTTTCTACCGGTAAATTACGATGCCTTAGGGTTAAAAAAAAAAAAAAAAAAAAAAAAAGCCAAACAAACAAAACCCCAAAATTCAAACCACCACCAACCGACCCCAAACCCCCGCAACCCAACCACCCCCACCCGACCCAAGCAAACCCGGAGGCAGCGGGGGATCGGTGAACGGCAGGAGGGCAGCGGCCGCCGCTGGAGGTGAGCGGAGCCCCGGGGCGGCGGCGGCGGGAAACCCCTGCCCCGCTTCCCCTCGGGAAGCCGCCGGCCGGACCCCGCAGACGCGGGCGGGCGGGCAGCGGGGCGGCGGCGCCCCGCCGCCCCCCTTCCCCCATCCCTCCCGCCCCGTCCCTCCCGGCAGTACCGGGTGGCGTCTGCAGCCGGCCTGGGCCCTGAGTGAAGCGAAGCGGGGCTGCTGCCGGGCACATCCCAGCGCCAGCGCCGCCTCCCCCGCCGCCGCCGCCGCCGCCGCCTCCTCCTCGCTTCATTCACCCTCCGGCAGCCGCCCAGCCCCGTACTACATACGCCGTGCGGCGGCGGCGACCGGCCCTGCCGGCGACCGGCCCCGCGCTGCGCCCCGCCGGGTCCGCCCGGCGTACGAGCCCCGCACGGCCCCCCCGCACCGCGCCGCGCCGGCCGCGCGCGCACGCACGCACACGCGGCACCGCACCGGCACCGCACCCCCGCCCGCACACACACATACACATATACACACACACTATACACACACATACGGCACGGCACGGCAACCCACACACACACCCGGCACTGCAACCCGCACACACGCACCGGCACCGCACACACGTACGCCGACACACACACGAACAAACGTACAGCGAAGCCGCCGCGCTCACACGCACATACACACACCGCACACACTGCACACTCACACACACACACCGGCACCGCACACCGCCCCCCCGCACACACGAACACACGCGCAGTCTCACACACCCCGAGGCCGCCGCACCGGGGGCAGCCGCGACTCGCAAAATGTCCACCGTCCCTGCAGCCACCCACACCCCGCCCGGGCCGGGGGGAAGCGGGAGGGAGGGAGGGAGGGAGAGGGGGGGTGAAGAAGGAGGAAGGAGCGGAGCGGGGGGGGCAGGGCTGTACGAGCGGCTCCCGCGGCGGGGCCGCCCCGGCCCCCCGCTTCCTCCCGTGTCCCGCATCCCCACTCTGCTCCCTGCGCGGCGACCTCGGCCATTTGCGGCCGCCTCCCTCTCCCTCCCTCTCCCCTCAGGGCCGGGCCCGCGGCGGCAGCGCCTGCGGGCCGGGCCGGGCCGTGGCTGGCCGGGGGCAGCCGCAGCGAGGCGGGCTGCAGCCCCGTGGCGGGGTGGGCAGCGCGCTCCCCTGCCCCCTTAGCCCCGTGTTTTTCCAGCTGGAAATCGCCGGCGGTTTGCAGTCGAAACAAGGGAAGAAGCCGGGGGCGGCTGGGGGGGAGGCAGAAAGCAGAGGAGGAAAAAAAAGCCACTTACTGTAAAGTGTCAGTGGAGGTGGGGTTGGCGGGGGTGGGGGGGTCAGAGAGAGACTCGCACACAAATGTCTTCCTAGCTGATCATGGGGCTTGGGTCTGCTTTTTGTTTGTTTGGCTTTTTTTCTTCCCCCTGCAGTGACACAGGTCCGGGATGTCTCCACCACTGTAGTAGAAATGATGTCTGCGGTACAGCGCTCGCTCCCTCTCCGCTCTCCAGCATGTAAATGGGTAATAGAAGCCAAATATGGAGCAGTTGGCTGCCTCTGCAACAGCTCAAGGATCCTACTTCATGCAAAAGGCGGGGGGGGGGGGGAAGGGGGGGAGAGAAGGGAGGAGGAGGAGGCAAGGCAACACTCTGGCAGTCGGCCAAGAGAGCCACACAGATTATTGCATACGCACGGCACCGCCGGGCCAAGGCGGCCTTTAACCCTTTGCGGGCCGCCGCACGCTGCCCGGGGGCGGGGAGGGGGGCTGGGGGTTCGCCTCGACACTTACCTCCTCCTTCCCCTTGTAACACTTCAAAGGCCAGGCTGGCTCTCTACGGTGGGATTAATCCCTGCGCACGCCAGTGTTCCAGAGAAGTCCCCGCTCCAGTAGCAGGCTGCGTCGTGGGGCTCTCAAATCACTTTGCAGGCGGAAAGAAATGAGATGGGGAGGGGAAAAAGAAAAAAAAAAAAAACCCAACCCCGAACCTATATTGTTTAAGGGGGAAGAAACACAGCTAGCGACGTGTGCTGTCCTTCAGAAAAGGCAGTGAATGCTGGTTTAAAGGATGCATGAAAATCGGTTGCTCAGTCAAGGCTGGTCTCTCTCTCTAAGGGAGGAAATAAAACTGTTCTGGAAACCAGGGAATGCTCTGAAGCAGCCTCTGCGAGAGTCAGAAGAGGGTGATTTTATTTAAGATGCCATATTGCATTTTGCTGTGGTGAACTGTGAAGTGATTTAGAGCAAGAGCCTGCATCCCACTCCCTTTTTCTGAATTAGTTTTATTTATCCGGATCCTTGGCATATGCTTGAGTTGCTTTGTAGAAAGTACCTTCCACTTCATTCAGACCAAAGAGACTCTGACTCATACCGCCACTGAACTACAAGACAGGCACGGCTGAACCACGCATGTTTGGGTACTAACTCCCTCTGGAATCCTCAGCACTGGTTTCATCAAAGATCCCTTTGCATCTCTCCCAGTTGTCTGCAGACCACTGTGAGCTACTCCTGAACTTCCCCCCCCCCTTCCCCCGCCAAGTATGGCAACTTACACTCCCCTGGCACTCCAGCCTCAGTGTGTTACTCTCTTACTTCCCTTAACGCAGATGTCTGCAAGTGCCATAAACTACAGTGATGGGCAAGTAACAAGCACAGATGCCAAACAGAGACCAGAGATTTCCTTCTGGACTGTCTCAGTCTGGTCTTCATGTTAAAAAAAATTTAAACAACCCCTCCACACCCCCAAAAATCAATTTACCAAGCTAGGTACAACTTAAAGAAATAAAACAAATTATGAAAGCAATGAATAGGACGAATGCCATTCACTCTCTGCTTTGGCATCAGGACAAGAAGTAGAGCACAGAGGCCCCTCCCCACACCAAAGATATTGCAAAAAAATGTTGCATAAATACCAAAGGCTGTTACATGCCAGCTCCAAGGAGCTGGACGCTGTGGGGTCCCAGGCCTCAGAAAGGCCTGAGATGTGCACTCCATGAAACATGGCCATCCAGAGCAAGCTGTTTATTGCAGCTTGTACCAATTTGCCATGACAATAAGCTCCAAGGTACCAGGTTTCTAGCAGATATACCTCCTATGTGTCCGTTTTATATTAGCATTAGGTTTTAGCTGCATATTAAATCTAGCATTAAGAGTCTAGATGCAAAGTACCCTAGGACTCAGTTTGCAATTATGCAGATCAGCAAAGGAGTCCCTTCTATGAAGGACTATACTGGCTTACTGTAATTGCTAAAGAACGTACTAATAACACTGTAAGCTGCAGCATTCTGGATTTAAGAGTTGATACTGTAAGACAGACTAGCTTTAGGAAACATAAGGCTCTTTTACCACAGCATCTGTATCTTTAGTTCGGGTTCACTATGAAAATCAAAATGATTTTCTGTTCTAGCAGTAATCTGGAGACAGACGCAGCAACAGGCCAAGATACCTTGAAAAACATGCCACTCAGTACTACGAGAGAGTGAATCTAAAGCAGCAAAGCAGACAGCAAAATTGTATTCACCCAGCCAATGCAAGGTTCATTGATTTAATAAAAGGAACCAAGGGAAAGAGACAAAGACTGGAGATTACTGAAAATCAAGTGAAAGCCCTGGAGAAACTGAAAACCCATCATCAAGGTTCAATTCAGAGTACAAGGCATTCTGTCTGCCACCTTTTTTATTCCAGTAGTACAGAGTGTTACCTCAGGAGAAAGGAATCTTTCCTTCTCAAACATTCACCTTGCCAAGAGGTGTGGCACACTCAGAGAAAGAGAAGCCACATTCATGCTGAAGCAAGCTTTGGGCAACTTTCCCTTCTGCAGCAGGCTCATGTAAGAGGTTTGTGTGTTCCTCCACTCTGTGGCTACAGTGTGTGCCTCAGGACTCTCATTTTTTGCCACACTGTATACTCCAGGCTTTTACATCTTTGTCTATGTTTCTGGTTCAGAGTAGAAAAGAGACCCCCACAATGTAAGTGCTTTGTAAGTTAAAGCAATAGTGCTTTCCTGAGCCAGCAGGCACTTAACCCATAGCTCTGGGAAGTGCCACAACTGCCACCAGCCACGTCAGGTTTATAAGCCACTCTCACCTCTGTTCTGACTTGATACATGTTGATTGTATTAACAGACGAGGGATGAGGGGACTATGCCGCTACAAACATGGCCTAATACACAGGATATGCAACCATGTCACAAGATGTCCTTGTGCCTCAGCAGCTCCCCTGTCAAGGGCCTACACTGGGCCTCAGTATATTCCCTGCACAAAGGATTCCACAAAACACCGAGGTGCTGATGAAGGCAAGTGAGTGGGACACAAGAACCACACAGACCCAAGTGTTTTCATTTACTGCTGGTGATGTGCTAAAACTGATAGGATTCCCAGGAGAATATAATCTGACCAAAAGATACTAAACAATTTGGCATGCAAGATGCACACTGTCTAGAAGAAACTGTTTTTCAATTCACTAGTTGTAATGTGCCATCTACGCAGCATGTTTCATACAATTAATAGTACCTATAAAAAATGGGAGAATAGGAGGCATAGTAAGCTGGATATTTTTTAACACTAGTATTCAGGGAAATGCAGTGATTGACAGTGTATTGAGTGTGCAAAGTAATCTCACAATTATTGATCGTTACAGTTCAAATCTTCAATCTGTCATAAAATGACATTGTTGGTCTCATTACAGCCTCTAGTGGACAGTAGTAATCCACCTCACAGACCTGTCACACCATTTGCTCAAATGACAGGCGTTATCAAGGCAGAGGTTACTCTGAGAGAACATGAACACACAGGTCATTCTTATCCATCAGCAAAAAGGATTTTTGAATACAATCAAAGGTTTGCTGTCACTGCTTGTAAAGTGCCTCGCTTTATTCTTCAGGTATAGCATTGGCTTGTAAATAAACAGAGAACTTCTGCTATTCATTTCAGCTTCTGACAGCTTTCATAAAACTAAATTAATCTCAAATATTTTTATAACAGAAAATATTGGTTGCCATGTTTTTGGCTTAAGTAAGATGTTTTTAATCCAACTCAGAATCTGCTGACTGTCCAATTCACCTCCTATCTATTTACAGCTCTCTCACATTCAGATAATTTTTGCTAATGCAGTTATTTTTGCTATTATTTCAGACATATGCAGCTGATTTAAGGCATTTGTACAGCTTTCATAAATTAGAAACTATAATTTGGATTACAGCTGGCTAATTAAGGTATGCTTTCCTCAGGAAAGTTAAAAATGTACATGATCTGAACAATAATGTGTTTGGACTATATCTTTAAGTGTCACTTGTGTGAACATAAAAAAATATTACTAATGTCTTTAATTTTTGTTTATTCACTTAGAAATTTGTGTATTCCCTGTCATAACAGAGCTGTTGATGATGTTCTCCAGAACTCTGTGATTGTCTTCAGATGCAAGGAAATTAGATTGGTAGACACAGCAGCCAGTGCTGTCTCTTTAAAGCCACAAGTATCTCATGCAAATTAACATTTAGTGAGAGTAAAGCATTCATGAAAACTAAGCAAGTATGTAGCACTACACTGTGATGCAAAGAGAAAAATCTTATAGTCTAAAATGGTAGTCCTTTGCAAGTGAATTCAAAAGAAAGGCTGCCATTAATTTTTTTGTTTGGTTGGTTTGGTTTTTTGTTTTATTACACTGTGGCTAGGTAAGGGCTGTAGGGTGATGAAAAAATCATTATTTGTCATGCCTTTCAGTTTAGGTAATGGGATATTTTGGTTAAAAATGTTTACCTTATAATTGTCTTGATTTTTTGAAAAGAAGCAATCAAGTTCTCTAAATAACAATAGCTTCAATGGCTTTAAAGTAACAATAGGTTCTTAGATGGAGATCTGAAATTAGATGCTCTCTTTTAGTTGTTGCTTTTTTAAAACTGAGCAAAGCAACTCATCAGGGAATTAAGTAAACTGAGGACTCTTCTAAAGTCTCAAAATCGAGTCCAATTTAGTCTTTTGAATACAAGGTCAGTCGGTTACAGGTCACTGCTCTGAAGGGAAGACCTGTTAACCTACCAGTGACCACATCAGGATGGACCACAGCCACAGTTAGTCCCATAAGCTGTGGCAATCAGTGGAAAATAAAAGTACCTCTTCTCTAGGGGTGCTTAACTGGTCTAGGCACCTATCATGTAATAACTACTATGACCTGTTAGGTGCTTTATGGCCAGTGCTCTTCAGCCATCTGAGGTCTCGATCTGTGTACTGGCCTCCGTGTATCGCCCCTGACACTGCAGCTACCCATACGGCTGTGTGAGCAGAAGGGCCAAGCACAAATGGAAACTGAACTCTGTCTTATTCCTGGAAGTGATCATTTCATCTTGGGGTTAAAGTACACCAGCAGAACACAGACGGGAAGCTCAACTCTGCAAAAGTGCTTTGTTTCCAGGCATGTCAAGGCAGTGCTGTTAACAAGGATTAACATTCAACCAACATTCAGGAGAATTTGCCAGCCACTGTCTGGGAGAGGGCTCTCAGGTGCTAGCAGGGAGCAACCAGCGACCATATTGTAAGAAACACATGTTGTCCCATCCCTTTAAATCGTACCTGGTACAGAGACTTATCTGGGAGTTCATTTACCAGGATTTTTTCTGTCTCTTAAGGGTGTTATGGTCTAGACAGATTAGATTTGCATCTACTCTGTAAACACCTAGGGTTGGAAAATATGTCTTGACCTTCCTTAAAATGTCTTACCACTATAAGGCACTGTGGTTTCCAAAACCCATTAGTCTCTCTGATCAATGTTATACAAGTTTTGATATGTGCCATGAGTTTTTATGAGAGGAGGGGAATGGGCTAGAATGGACTAGTTACTTGTTTGAACAGACATAGAAATTGAAAACATGGATTTTTGACTCCTAGATCCTTTAATGGCCCCAACTGAGCTGTTCTGGTCTATTGAACAAATCCTTCCCACCTCATGGATAATCGACCTACCAGACCTCCAGAGCCACTGTGCTCAATCCTGCTGCCAAGTCTGCTCTTTTTGTTCACATGCTAAAAATCTTTATGTTTTGTTGAGAAAATGCATACCTTATAATGACAGCTACTTTCTACTCCCACTATCTCTACCTCTTCACAAAATATGATACACACGGGCCTTGCCTCCAAAGCTGTCATGCAAATTCAGAAATTTGGTTTACCAAATTCATCCAATATAGGTAAGTTTAGGCTCATGCTTTGGTTTCAAGACAGTGAGAAGTGCAAGCTACTTAATGTTCAAGACCAAAGTTATATTGTATCTATATCTTCTTCAAAAAGAAAACCAGTAACTAAGACAGAATTAACTAAAAAGTCAGTAAGGATTCTGAAATACAGGCTTCATCTACATAAGAAAGAGCTGTATTCCTTTGTTTTCAAAAGGTATCATATAGCAAAAAACTGCAATCACCTGATGCACAGGAATGAAGACTTTGAACAGTTCCTAAATATCAAACAAAAATTGAAATGG